CTGCTGCTGCTGCTTTTTTCGAGGCATTGGGAATGAGCCAGGAGACACTTCGTTTTGTCTTTTTCTTAAAGATAACATATTCTCAAAAAAGGGCTTTACTGCTGCTGCTGCTGCTGCTGCTCGGGTTTGGTTTTGCTGCTGCGGAGCCGGTGCTGCGGCTTTCCCATGTCCTCAGGGTTTAGGGTTTAGGGCCTAGCGATTAGGGTTTAGGGTTTGGCATCTAGGGTTTAGGGTTTAGGATTCAGGGTGGAGCTTTCACGGCCTATTGTCTAGCGTTTTAGGATTAATATTTACCCTACGGCTTATCGTTTAGGGTTTTGGGTTTAGCGCCTAGGGTTTAGGGTTTAGGGTTTAGGGGTCCGCACAGAGTGGTGCGGCAAAGCCACACAACACCCTGGTGTGCACAGTCCTAAACCCTAAACCCTAAACCCTCGATTTTCTGTGGCACACAGCGGAGCGCCCTGCTGCTGGCGCTGCTGCTGCTGCTGCTGCTGGCGCTGCTGCTGCTGTTGTTGCTTGCGTGCGCAGAGCGGGCTTTGCTGCTGCAGCCGCTGCAGGGATCTGAAACAACAAGATTAGCAGCAGCAGCGGTAGCAGCAGCGGCAGAAGGAGCAGCAGCAGCAGCAGCAGCAGCGGCAGCAGCGGCAGCAGCACTAAAACCTTGGAGGGGCCCCCCTCACACTGCCTGAGGGGGCCCCCCTTCTTTGGGTTTGCAGTTTAGATAATGAAAATCTCCAAAACATAAATTGGTTGAAATAAAATAAATTAAAAACAAAAAATGAAACTAATGGTTTCATGTAGCTGCCGTTCAATCTGCTGCGGCTGCTGCTGCCGTAGCGGTTCGCTGCTCCCTGCTGCTGCTGCTGCTGCTGCTGCTGGCGGTGGGGTGGCTGCGCAGCTGCGGCGGCGCCTTAAATTGTTTTTGTTGTCTTCAAAAGTTCAAAACTAAAAGTGGCAATTCCGTTGGCGCGTCAATTGTCAGGTGTCTGTACACCGAAACTCCTGCTGCAGCGAGAGCAGCAGCAGCAGCAACGGGAGCAGCAGCAGCAGGTGACCTTCGCGGGATCCACCTCCGTACCTGCTGCAGCAGCACACACATGCACATGGAGACCCTCCGCAGCAGCAGCCTTGCTGCTGCTTCCGTTGCTGCTCCCAGCGGCGGGGAGACGCAGCAGATCGCAGTTGGAGCTGAAGCAACTGCAGCAGCAGCAGCAGCAGCAGCGACACCGGCAGCAGCAGCAGCGACCCCAGCAGCAGAGCCTGCACGAGTAGCGACAGCAGCAGCAGCAACACGCAGCGCAGCAGCTACACACGTGCAGCCCAGCATGGCTGCAATAGAAGCCTTGGCAGCAGCATCAGCAGCAACAGGAGCTCTTGCTGCTGCTGCTGCTGCTGCTGCTGCACCCCCTCCTGAGCAGTCAGACGCTGCTGAGGAAGCTGAAGCCTTGCTGGAAGCAGCAGCAGCAGCAGCAGAGCCGCAAAGCCTGTGCCACTCGCCAGCTGCTTTCAGCGTGACGCCGCAGCAGCAGCAGCAGCAGCTGCAGCAGCAGCAACTGCAGCAGCAGCTGCTGCTGCTGCAGCAAGAGGAGACTTCGAAAACTCCACGGCCGCTTTTTAGCTCGGGCGGGAACAGCTGCGCAGGAGTTGCAGCAGATTCCGCTGCAAAAGTTCCGGCAGCAGCAGCAGCAGAAACAGCAGCGGCAGAGACAACAGCAGCCGCAGCAGCAGCAGCAACTCCTGGAGCAACCCCACCACAGCCAGAAGCTGCAGCAGCACAGAGTGAGTTAGGAGTACCAGCTGCCTCAACTACGGCAACAGCAACCGCAGCAGCAGTAACTGCAGCAGTGGCAGCAGCAGCAGCAACAGCATTGCCTGGGGATCATGCAGCAGCAGCACCAGCAGCAACAACAGCATTGCCTGGGGACCATGCAGCAGCAGCAGCAGCAGATATTGCTGCAGTGGGGTACTCTTGTGGAACTCAGCCCCAGCTGGCAGAAGCAGCAGCAACACAAGCAGCAGCATCGGGAGCACAAGGAGCAGCAGCAGCAGAAACAGAAGCAGCAAGGCCCTCCGCAGCAGTAGCAGCAAACACTGCAGCAGCAGCAGCAACTCACTCGGCTGTGGTTCCGGTGACAATCCCCGCAGCAACAGCAGCAGCGGCTCAAGCAGCAGCAGCAGCAGCAGCCGCTCCTCCTGCAGCAGCAGCAGCCCAACTCGCAGCAGCAGCAGCACCTGTAGAAGCAGCAGGCTTAGCCGCAGCAGCAGTAACCTCTATACCTGCAGCAGCCACAGCAGCGCCATTTGCAGCAGCTGCAACGCAACTGGCTGCAACTGCGACCACAACTGCAGCAGCAGCAGCAGCAGCAGCAGCGGCAGCAGCAGCAGCAGATGCACAAGCAGCAGCACCTCTAGCAGTAGCACCTGCGGCGCATCCGGCAGCTCCCCGAGTGGCACCAACTGCAGCAGCAGCACTTGCGGCAGCAAAGCCAGCAGCAGCAGCTGGAACATCTTGCCCAGGAGCAACAGCAGCAACGGCAACGCCCGCAGCAGCAGCTGCTGCTGCTGCAGCACCCCTGGTAGCAGCAGCAAAGCTGATGGCTCCAACGCCGCAGCATGCAGCAGCGGCTGCTGCAACAGCAGCACCTCCAGCAGCAGCATCGAAGCTGATGGATCTGACGCCGCAGTATGCGGCAGCAGCTGCTGCACCAGCAGAAGCAGCAGCAACAACAGCAGCAACAGCAGCAGCAGCGGCAGCCGTGAGAGCGCCCCTAGCAGCAGAGACAGAAACACATGAAGCAGCAGGAATGTTCGCAGCTGCCGCAGCACCAGCTGCTGCAGTTGCAGCAGAAGCAGCTGCAGCACCAGCAGAAGCTGCAGCACAAACTACAGCAGCAGCTGCAGCACCAGCTGCAACACCAACAACAGAGGCAGCTGCAGCACCAACTGCAGCACCAGCTGCATCACCAGCAGTTGCAGCGCCAGCGGCAACAGAACCGGCAGCAGCACCAGCTGCAGCACCAGCTGCAGCACCAGCTGCAGCACCAGCTGCAGCACCAGCAGCAAACGCCGCTGCAACACCAGCAGAAGCAGCTGCAGCACCAGCTGCAGCACCCTCAGCAGAGGCAGCTGCAGCGCCAGCTGCAGCGCTAGCTGCAACGCCAGCTGCAGCGCCAGCTGCAGCGCCAGCAGCAGCACCAGCTGCAGCACCAGCTGCAGCAAAAGAATCAGCTGATGCTGCTGTCACAGCCTTGCAGGGCGTAACATCAGAGGTTGCTGCAGCAGCAGCAGCAGCAGCAGCTCCTGCTACTGCTGCTGCAGCACCTGCTGTTTTTGCCGGGGAGGCACCACCAGCACTGCCATGCCCAGTTCCAGCAGCAGCTGCAGAAGCAGCAACAGCAGCAGAAGCAGCAACAGCAGCAGCAGCAGCAGAAGCAAGAGGCGCCGGGCCTTGCATGCCTTCGCCAGGGGCCTCTAGGGAGCAGCTGCTGCTGCAGCAAAAGATGCTGCTGCAGCAGCAGCTTGAGGCGCTGCAGCGCGAGCACGACATGCTCCAGATGCAGCGCGTGCAGCAGGGACAGCAGCAGCAGCAGCAGCAGCAAATTGCAGCTCCTGCTGCTGTCTCGATTGTCTCGGCTGCCGTCGACACACCAGCAATTGCTGCTGCAGCAAGCTCTCCTCTCTCTGCTGTAGGTGCTGCTGTTTCTCCCGACACTTCAGCAGCAGCAGCAGCAGCAGCAGCAGCACCTGCGCAGCAAGACCCTTCGGCGTCTGCGGCTGCTGCTGCTGCGGTTGCTGCTGCTGCTGCTGCTGCAGATGCTGCAGCTAGAGTTGTGGAAACACCAGAAGTTGCTGCAGCTACTTGCTGCTTGGGTACAAGAGCAGCTGCTGCTGCAGCCAGTGCGGGAGTACAAGCAGCAGCAGCCGGCGCTGCTGCTGCAGCCGCTGCTGCTGTATCCCCTGCTGCTGCAGCAGCTGCTGCTGCAGCTGCTGCTGCTGCTGCAGCAGCAGGGGATGCAGCAGCACCAAGTATAGCTCCGGTCACTGCAGCAACGAACGAGATAGCAGCCACACAGGCAGCTCCCCCTCCAGCAGAAGCAGCAGCTGCTGCAGCAACAGCAGCAACAGCAGCAGCCAACGAAGAAAATTTGGCAGCAGCAGCAGCAGAAGATATGCAAAAGATGGCAGCAGCAGCCTCACCAGCAGCAGCAGCAGCAGACGCTCCGAAATTGCGGGTACTAGCAGCAAAGCCAGAAACTGGCAACCTTGCTTCCGAAGCAGCAGCAAACGTAACAGCAGTTTCTGGTGCTGCTGCTGCTGCTGCTGCACCGGCAGGCACTCCTGTTGCTGCTGCTGATGCACCCGCAGCAATTCTTGGTGCTGCTGCTGCTTCACAGGCAGCGCCTGCAGCTTTTGCTGCTACACAGGCAGCATCTGCTGTTGCGCGTATTCCTGCTGCTGTTGTGCAAGCAGCAAGTCCTGTTGCTGCTGCTGTTACTCAAGCAGCAAGCCCTGTTGCTGCTGCTCAAGCAGCAAGCCCTGTTGCTGCTGCTGCGGTGCCAACAGCAGCTCCTGCCTGTGAGGCTGCTGAACAAGCAGCGGCTGCTGCTGCTGCTGCACCGGCAGCGGTTGCTTCTGCTACTGTTGAAGCAGCAGTCGCTGCTGCTGTTGCTGCTGTTGCTGCTGTTGCTGCTGAACAGGTGGCTTCTACCTCCACTACACCTCCAGCGGTTTCTGGTGGTGCTGCTGCTGCACCAGCAGCAATGCCTCCTGTTGCTGCTGTTGCTGCTCCAGAAGCAGTGCCTTCTGTTGCTGCTGCTGCTGCATCACCAGTAGTGCCTGCTGTTACTGATGCTGCTGCTGCATCAGCCGCAGTGCCTCCTGTTGCGGATGCTGCTGCTGCATCAGCAGCAGTACCTCCTGTTGCGGATGCTCCTGCATCAGCAGCAGTACACTCTGTTGCTGGTGCTGCTGCTGCA